TGATAAATAACGAGGTCGAAGGAGGCCGGCGAATTAAAATTTGAGGATGTCTCGAGCGTAACGCTTGTTCCCGGAAAGGGCGTGGGCCCAGGGTTCTCTTTTAGTAGGTAAACCTGTCCCCCGGTGCCAACTTGAGGGAGGCCGGCGAATTTTTTCCCTGATAAATAACGAGGTCGAAGGAGGCCGGCGAATTTAAATTTGAGGATGTCTCGAGCGAAACGCTTGTTTTTGAAATCCCGATCGATAAATCACAGGGAGCGGGCCACTTTTTCGTGTGTTGAGGATGTCTCGAGCGAAACGCTTGCTCCGCAGAGTTTGCCGAGGATGTCTCGAGCGAAACGCTTGTTTTGCAGAGCCGACCGCGACGCGGAAAAGCGCCCCGCGCGAAGGAATTTCGATGATGTCTCGACTTATTCCTTTGTTTTTGTACGATTTCCTGGAATTTTGGCAGGATGTCTCGAGCGAAATGCACGACCCCACCCTAGCACGACCATACCCCAGCACGACCACACCCCAGCACGACCAGACCACAGCACGACCCCACCCCAGCACGACCCCACCCCAGCACGACCATACCCCAGCACGACCACACCCCAGCACGACCCGACCCCAGCACGACCCTACCCCAGCAAGACCACACCCCAGCACGACCACACCCCAGCACGACCTCACCACAGCGCGACCTCACCACAGCACGACCACACCCCAGCACGACCACGCCCCAGCACGACCACGCCCCAGCACGACACTCCCACGCACGACACCCCCCCAGCACGACCACCCCCCAGCACGACCACGCCCCAGCACGACCACACAGACCAGCACCGACAGCACGACCACTCACCCAGCACGACCACCACCCCAGCACGACCACACCCCAGCACGACCACACCCCCAGCACGACAACCCCAGCACGACCCCACCCCAGCACGACCCCACCCCAGCACGACCCCACCCTAGCAAGACCACACCCCAGCACGACCACACCCCAGCACGACCTCACCACAGCACGACCACACCCCAGCACGACCACGCCCCAGCACGACCACGCCCCAGCACGACCAAGCCCCAGCACAACCACCCCCCAGCACGACCACCCCCCCAGCACGACCACACCCCAGCACGACCACCCCCCAGCACGACCACACCCCAGCACGACCACTCCCCAGCACGACCACACCGCCTTGGTTGTGTGGGTGCCTGTCGTCGTGGAATGTTTCGTGGGGTGTCTCGTGGAATGTTTCGCGGGGTGTCTCCTGGAATGTTTTGTGAGGTGTCTCGCGGAATGTTTCGTGAGGTGTCTCGTGGGATGTTTCGTGAGGTGTCTCGTGGGATGTTTCGTGAGGTGTTGCCCCGTTGGGTATCGTGAAAACGTGCCCATGCTCCACATGTCTATATCCCTTTCCGGGTTCGTGGGTCCATCATGTTTTTCAGAATTTCTTGAGGATGTCTCGAGCGAAACGCTGGTTTTGCAGAGTTGAGGATGTCTCGAGCGAAACGCTTGTTTTCAGAATTTGCTGAGGATGTCTCAAGCGAAACGCTGGTTTTGCAGAGCCGACCGCGACGCGGAAAAGCGCCCCGCGCGAAGGAATTTCGATGATGTCTCGACTAATTCGTTTGTTTTTGTACGATTTCCTGGAATTTGGGCAGGATGTCTCGAGCGAAATGCACGACCCCACCCTAGCACGACCATACCCCAGCACGACCACACCCCAGCACGACCAGACCCCAGCACGACCCCACCCCAGCACGACCCCACCCCAGCACGACCATACCCCAGCACGACACACACCCCAGCACGACCCGACCCCAGCACGACCCTACCCCAGCAAGACCACACCCCAGCACGACCACACCCCAGCACGACCTCACCACAGCACGACCACATTCCAACACGACCACGCCCCAGCACGACCACGCCCCAGCACGACCACGCCCCAGCACGACCACGCCCCAGCACAACCACCCCCCAGCACGACCACCCCCCCAGAACGACCACGCCCCAGCACGACCACCCCCCAGCACGACCACACCCCAGCACGACCACTCCCCAGCACGACCACACCCCAGCACGACACACCCCAGCACGACCACACCCCAGCACGACCACACCCCAGCACGACCCGATCGATAAATCACAGGGTGCGGAGCACCCCAGCACGAACCCACCCCAGCACGACCCCACCCCAGCACGACCCCACCCCAGCACGACCACGCCCCAGCATGACCACACCCCAGCACGACCACACCCCAGCACGACCACTCCCCAGCACGACCCCACCCCAGCACGACCCCACCCTAGCACGACCACACCCCAGCACGACCACACCCCAGCACGACCCCACCCCAGCACGATCACACCCCAGCACGACCCCACCCCAGCAAGACCACACCCCAGCACGACCGCACCCCAGCACGACCTTACCACAGCACGACCACACCCCAGCACGACCACGCCCCAGCACGACCACGCCCCAGCACGACCACGCCCCAGCACGACCACGCCCCAGCACGACCACGCCCCCAGCACGACCACGCCCCAGCACGACCGCAGCACGACCACCCCCCAGCACGACCACCCCCCAGCACGACCACCCCCCAGCACGACCACACCCCAGCCGACCACTCCCCAGCACGACCACACCGCCTTGGTTGAGTGGTTGCCTGTCGTCGTGGAATGTTTCGTGGGGTGTCTCGTGGAATGTTTCGCGGGGTGTCTCGTGAAATGTTTCGTGAGGTGTCTCGTGGAATGTTTCGTGAGGTGTCTCGTGGGCTGTTTCGTGAGGTGTCTCGTGGGATGTTTCGTGAGGTGTTGCCCAGTTGGGTATCATGAAAACGTGTCCATGCTCCACATGTCTATATCCCTTTCCGGGTTCGTGGGTCCATCATGTTCAAGTTGTCGTCCAAAATCAGCTTGTAGGGAGACATGCCCGACCTAACATTAGTCGCCGATAGAGGCCCGATAGCCCGTCCGGTCAGGGACGTGCGGATTCGCTATCGAGGGCCGATCACCAATCTAATGGCGATGCATCGCCGATTTCAGGTCGATGTTCCCCCCGCTGAGCTAGTCCCCCCGATCGTTCCCCTCATTGCATCTAGCTTCCGACGGTGTTTTCCCAAAGAGTCAGTCCATCAGAGGTGGCATGTTAGCACATGAGAGGAGAATCATCTTGCTTCGCGGGGTGCACAGCCGCCTTGGGGCCGCTACGTACGTTATTCCCCCTCCTGCCCCCCCCTTCCCCAGCATAACGCCCTTTATGGCCGCGAATAAGAATTGGGCTCCTGGAGGTAGGAAAGGGGTGTGCTGTAAATGGGGTGCTGTAAAGGGGTGTGGTGCTGATGCCGAATCTGGCGATCTGGCGATGCTATCTATCGCAGATAGCATTACCATTTCCACGATTTGCAAATCCCTTTCTGCCACACCCTTTGCCGACCTCCACATTCAGTCGTTATTGCGAAGGCCCCCCAGAGGATGCCTCGTAATATTCCCTAGCGGCGCCACCCTTGCAGAGTCCTAACTGAAGGGCCTGGAGTGAAGGGTCATCGTATGCGAAACTCGGATCGTTGAAGCGCCCCGTCCTGGCTCATACATGCAGTTCCTGGGATCGTTGATCTGTTCTTCTCGGCCAGGCAGAGCCTTGCGTGAAGGCTCCTAGCGTGTCCGAAGTTCGGCGTCGTTAAGGGGCCCCTCCCTGGCTCACAGGAGAGCTCTTGGGGATCGTCGATGTGTTCTTCTCGACCCCGCAGAGAGGGCGAGGACGGCCGCTCAGAGGACTCCCGGCCGGCCGTCCTCGCCCTCGGCCTCTCTCCGTGCCGCGGGCGGCCCGCCCGCCCCTTTGGCCCCGCGGGCCGAGGCAAGGCGGACCTGATCGTGGCGGGGGCCGACTACAATCAGGACGCGTGGACTGACTGACTGCGGCCTTGCATCCCTTGCAGACGCGTAGGCGAAACAAACAACGAATCAGCATACGTGTACAAACAGAAACAGAAGACATGCAACGATGCCTGATTATATACTGAAGTTGCCCATTGCTGTCTGGGACGCCCCCGGCGCCTGCGGACAGCCCAGGACGCGTGGAGGGCGTCGATGTTTGCTTCGTGCCCGTCGGTCGTCGATGGGCAGGTACCTTGGTGCTCCCAGATCCCCTTCTGCGTCCCCGGACCCCCACGGGGAAGGCAGAACTCATGACGGGAGGTTTTCCATACTGTTCGGCCTCTGGGGGCACTTCAACGGGCCTCGGGACCGTCGAAAAGCGACTCGGGATGAGAAGCTGGTCCTACGGAACGGATCCAAACCTCCTGTTGGTTGACGTAGTGAAGAAATCGTGACGTCGGGGGTCTGGGTCGGCTGCATTGTTGTGGTTCTCTGGGGGAGCCTGGGCCAAGTCTGCTTGATCCGCCTTCTCCTCCTCTTCCTCCTCCTCCTCCTCCTCCTCCTCCTCCTCCTCCTCCTCCTCCTCCTCCTCCCCCTCTCGCTGACAAAGGAGGAAAGCGGGCAAGACGCGAGCAAGGGACAAGAGAGGGCGGACAAGAAGCGAAGGGGAGAGAAAGAGGAGCGTCCGTCCACACAGCTGGCTCCACTTAGGACACGCTCCGCGTTTCCCTGCGGAGTCTACACGTGTCGCCCCCAATTAATTAAGCACGAAGGGCCAACGAAGGCGGGCCGACAAGCAGGACGACGAGGGGAGCCAGCGAGGGCAAGCCAAGGAGCAGGGAGAAGGAGGGAGGGAGGGAAGGAGGGAGGGAGAACGAGGACAACGACGACCAGGCCGAGAGACGCAAGGAGGGAGAAGCAGGGAGACAAAGAAGCCGAGAGAGACACACACACACACACACACACACACACACACACACACACACACACACACACACACACACACACACACACACACACACACACACACCACCAAGAAAGGGCAAGGCACAGAAGGAGGACGAGGGGGGGAGAGGAGCAAGCCGAGGAAGGCAAGGGAGCCGAGCAAGGAAAGGAAGGGAAGGAGGCACACGGCCCGGGCCACGGGCCGAGACGACCCCCAGGGGGAGCCGAGGAGACGGCCAAACCCGGGGGGGGGGAGAGGGGTACCCTCGGAGGCCGGCTGCGGAGACAGCGGGGGCCGAGGGGGGAGGCGGGCGGAGGAAAGAGGGGAAGGCGGGGTACGCCACGCACGGAGCTAGCGCCAGGGGCGCGGGAGGCCGGCCGCGCCGGCGAGCAGCTGCGCGGCCCCGCGCTGCAGGGCCGCGGCCAAGCTCTGGCGCAGGTCGGCCAGCGCCGCCGCGCGCCGGAGGCCTCCGGGCGCCGCAGCCCTGGCCCAGCGGCGGCACTCCGAGCCCCACCGCCCGCCCGTCTCGAGCGCAGCGGCCAGCAGTCCGCCTCCCAGGTGGCGTTGGTGTTCTGTTCGCTCCCGATCGGCGGCCGCCTGGCCGTCGCGCCGAGACCTGGCCGCTGCCAAGCCCGGGTCTGGTGTGGTGGCCTCGACCACGCTCACGTCGATGGCGAGGGGGCCAGAGCTGACGGGGTCGTGCGGCAACACCACGTCGAGGACTGCCCTCTCCATGGTGCCGTCTGCGCGCACGCGGTCCCATCTTGGGCACGCTTGCTCGGTGAGTGCCTCTTCCTCTCCCCACTCTCGTTTGCACCACGCTGCCAGCGCGTCGCGGCATCTGCTGTGCCCGCGACAGAAGCCCGGGCCCTTGTCGCAGCAGCAGGCGTGGCTCCCGTAGCGCTGGCGCGCCACCGATGCGCACGGGTGGTCCGTCCGGCGTGAACGGTGTTGGCACGGCGGCCCGCCCTGCCCCGCTGGGTTCTCGAAGAGCAATCGGCGGCGGTAGGCCACGCAAAACTCGTCGTCGGCCAGCGTGTGCTCGTCGCGGCGAGGCACTTGAAGCCACGCGCCCCCTTCCGTCCCCTGGCTGCGCAGAAGGCTCGCGCCCTCCGGGTCGAGCGCCTGCCCCAGCTGCCGGCGCTCCCGGGCCTGGGCCGACCGCGTCAGGTAGCGCTGGGAGGGCCCTCCGCCGGCACATCTGCGGGTGCCCGTGCGCTGGCGGGCCTGCGCAAGCACCGCGTGGAAGCCTGGAGCGGCGCGCTCGCTCTCGTCCAGCGAGGACAAGCCCTGCGCGGCGAGGACTGCCCGCCACGTGGTTGACCACGTGGGTCGGCGCGCTGCTCGGCCGAAGAGACGCTGCCCCCTCCTTCTCTGACCGGCGAAAACAGCACAGCCCGCGACGCTGCAGACCCACGAAATGGACGACCCATTCGTCGTAAGGTCTCCACGTCTCGGGGGCTCCTGGTCGTGCTCTCTGGGCGTAGGTGGTGGAGCCGTTCACGAAGTTGCGCAGCAGCGTGAAAGCCTCGTGCATGGGGAGCCCCGCCATGACTAAGGATTGGAGCCTCTCGTTGAAACTTTTCAGGCGCGTCACGGCCCGAGGCACCTCGTCAGCGGCACCCACCCCGGCGGTGACGTCGCGCCAGTCGTCGCCGTCCTCCTCCGTCACCCTGTGGTTCCTCATGAACGGCAGGGTACTGCCCAGGCAGGGTAGTGCCGGCACGGCCACGTGGCGCAGCTCGTCCGGCAGCTCGCCCGCGGCCGCCGGCACCCAGACCTTGGTCTTCCCAGCGTGAACCTCAAGGCCCGTGTTCGCGAGGAGTTCCGTCGTGAGCCAGAAAGCTGTTGAGGCGCACGCACGGGGCACCCACGGGTAGACGTCATCCAAGAAGGCGACCGCCTTGGCCTCGACGTGCAACGTGCGCAACTAGGCGTTCAGCTCGTCTAGTGGGCCCGCCGAGGAGATGCCCCACAGCGCCGGGGAAAGTGGGCAACACTCGTCCAGGCCCACCCACTGGACGACCGTGGAGCTGGCCTCGCCCTCCCCTGCGACCGCGTGCACCCCTCCCTGGTCGTAGATTGACCGGGCGAGCAACTCCAGGTCAGGGCACCGCGTGCTGAGGGCCCAGCAGAGGCGCCTGCGGCGGAGGCGGCGGAAAGCTGACCGGACGTCCACGCTGATGAAAGCCCAGTCGGGGTGCGCTTCTGCGTGGGCGGTGATCGTTTTCTGCAAGGCTTCGGCCCCGCCCGGCTCCAGGACGCCATACTGGTAGGGCCCGACAGCGCTGCGGATCTCCGCCTTCTGCGTGGCGCACACGGCCTGGCCGATCAGTCGGCGTGGGACCGTACCAGATGCCACCCGCCCAGCAAGCGCCCTCCTTCTCCTCCTCCTTCCCCTCCTCCCCCTCTCGTGCCCTCCTCCCCCCCCTCCTCCCCCCTCTTCCTCCTCCTCCTCCTCCTCTTCCTCCTCCTCCTCCTCCTCCTCCTCCTCCTCCTCCTCCTCCTCCTACTCCTCCATGCCTTCCCCTGCTTCTTCCGACCGACGTGTCATGCTTCAGGAGGGGAAAAAAGCTAACAGGCACCAAGCATCGTCGATCCCCAGGAAAATCTGGGAGGTGGAGATGAAGGCGAGCTCCCAGGAAACATCGACAACTTGGAGTTTCTGTCTGAATATTTGTGTCCTTGCCCCCTTCAATGTTTTGTTGTTCACTGCCCGAGGACCGTTGAAGGAACAAGCTTTGCAGCCCACGTTTAGGAACCAGTCTGCATGACCTCCCCCTCCTCCCCCTGGTCTCGATATGGAACAGGCGTTCCTGGAAAGGCGGGGCCGCCAGAATCTTGAACCAAACAACTCGAACGACATACCTGCCAGTATTCAGGCCAGGGGGGGGGTCTGAGGAGGGGGAGGAGGGAAAGGAGGAGGAGGAATTGGAGAAGAAGGAGGAGGAGGAGGAGGAGGATGAGAATGAGGCAGAGGATTCTCCCTCCTCCGCATCGGCGGCAGGCATCGTTACTCTAGCCGCTAGCCCTTGGGCATTCTGCTTTCGCCATTCTGTTTCTATGGTTCCTGATCCGCACTGGCCTGCCGCCCGATTGGCTCACACCGCTGCGTCACGTTTGTATTTTTGCACCATTCCCGAACCCTGCTAGCCACGTGCTTGAAGACCGATCAACGTCAGAAAAGGAGGAGGAGGAGGAGGTGGAGGGAGGAGGACGAGGAGGAGGAGGTGGAGGAAGAGGAGTAGGAGGAGGAGGTGGAAGGAGGAGGAGGAGGAGGAGGAGGAGGAGGAGTTTGGAGGAGGGAGAAGGGGGAGAAAGAAGGGGGAGTATGAGGAGGAGGAGGAGGAGGAGGAGGAGGAGGAGGAGGAGGAGGAGGAGGAGGAGGAGGAGGAAGAGGAGAGGAGGAGGGGAGGAGGGGGAGGAGGGGAGGAGGAGGAGGAGGAGGAAGGCCACCTGCGGGAGCCCTCCCCCGCACTCGGGGCTCCGGGGCCCGCGGGGCCGGCCTCAGTCAGCCCCTCCGGCCTGTGCCCGCGCGAGGTCGCGCGCTCGGCGCCCGCGTCTCCGGGAAAGCGCGCAGCGCTGGCGGCCTGCGTAAGGCGCGGCGTAAGGTCGCTGTGTCTAAGGAGGGAAAGATAGCACAGACACACAGACTCAACTCATTGTCGACTCCCAGAAAGTATTGGCAAAAGTGGGAAGTGTGGGGGGAGACGAAAACCGAGACAATACTTGGAAATTTGGGGAATCCTGTTATTTGTGTGTCCCAGGGCTCCTCCAGTGTCTCTTCGCGCAAGGTGATCGTTTTCCCATTCATTGTGTGCCGATCGCCGCGGGCCCTCGCACTCCCCTTCCCCCCCCATTGGAGTAGATCCTGGCTGTTTTTTGCGCCTGCTCCGAGCAGGTGAATTCTCCCGCCTACGGCGCACTCTTGCAGACAGTCGCCCTTAGCAGAGGTCCGGAGCCGGACCCCCCCCTTCCTCCCCCCCCTCTTCCGCCCTCTGTCGAAGCGCCGAAGAGGAAAAAACGCTCACAAAACGGAGGCGGAGGCGGAGAAGCAGGAGGGAGAAGAGGAGGAGGAGGCGGAGGAGGCGGAGGAGG